AACCGCTGTGCCACCGGGGCTGCCCTGTGTGTGTACTTTAAAGATTTATTTACTTATTTATTTATTTATTTATTTGTTTGTTTATTATTTATTTAGAGAGGATAGGTGAAGAGGCGCAGAGGGAAAGTGAGATTCTTTTTTATTTTTTATTCATTTATGATAGTCACAGAGAGAGAGAGAGAGAGAGGCAGAGACACAGGCAGAGGGAGAAGCAGGCTCCATGCACCAGGAGCCCGATGTGGGATTCGATCCCGGGTCTCCAGGATCACGCCCTGGGCCAAAGGCAGGCACCAAACTGCTGCGCCACCCAGGGATCCCGGAAAGTGAGATTCTTAACCAGACTTCACTCTGAGCATGGACCCTGACTCCAGGCTCGATGCCAGGCTTGATCCCATGACCCCGAGATCATGACCTGAACAGAAATCAAGAGTTGGACGCTTAAGTGACTGCACCATCCATGCACCACAATCTTAATTGTTCTTGTGAAAAACTAGTCAGTTCTTCCCCCTCATACTTTGGGGAAGAAGGAAATACAGAGTAAAGTCCAAGGGCCAGGATCCCAAAGCATCCTGCTATAATCCTATTTCCTCTTGAATTAAGCCTAGTGATCATTTGGGATTTACAACTGGACTTCCCATTCTGGAACATGATAATCATTTTTACATTAGTATATGTAAATTTACTTATAATTCTTTCCAGAAACTTATCTTTATATAGGTCCCCTGCATTTCCCAACGAATTAATCCCAGACATTTGACTATATGGAGTATACTTTTTTTTTTAAGATTTTATTCATTATTCATGAGACAGAGAGAGGCAGAGACACAGGCAGAAGGAGAAGCAGGCTCACCGCATGGAGACCAATGTGGGACTTTATCCCGAAATGCCAGAAACATGCCCTGAGCTGAAGGCAGACACTCAACCACTGAGCCACCCATGTGTCCCCTCTATGGAGTATCTTAAGAGAGGAAAAGTACAAATTAAATTTTACATTGAATGAAAAATTACTATTGCTAATCCAGCCATTTTTACATGATCCACAATGCCTTTTATGCAATTCTAAATCCCCAAGCCTTTCCTAATCAAGTTTCTTCCTCCATTATGTATCTGCCAGATACCAGAACTCACCAGGCTATTCACATTGTCTTTCTCCAATTTAGCATTACTCTTCATGTATTTTGCTATCAATACACGTATAAGTGGCTAGATGTTGCCCCAGACCTGCTCAGGATGTTACATATTGTGTGGTATATGCGTCTAACACAGTGGATTCCAAAATAGTTTTGGCCGTTAAGGTTTTTTTCTTTTTTAAGATTTTATTTATTTATTCATGAGAGACACAGGGAGAGAGAGAAGCAGGCTCCAAGCAGGAAGCCCGATGTGGGGCACGAACCCAAGATTTCAGGATCATGCCCTGAGCCAAAGGCAGACACCCAACCGCTGAGCCACCCAGGCATCCCATCGCCCTTAAGGTTTTGAATGAGGGATTGGGGCCCTGTATGCAAACAGGATGCATAACATTTTTGATATTTTACACCCATAATAGTTAGTAATTGTTCAGAAATACTTTAACATAGTCAAATTACAGTAAATTAAGTAGTTTAATTTGCTAAATGAGAAAAATAACAATTTGTTGCTTAAAAGTGGCTTTCATGAATAAATCTTCAATAATATACGTACTGAAAATCACCTTTGAACCAAAATCATGTTTTTATCCCATACCATGTAAACAGAATAAATAACTGAAAGAACTTCCAAGGGGACTTGCTCCCCTAAATTGTTAAAGTCCTCCATCAAACTTGATGGTGAACCACTGCAAGCTTCCCCAGTTACATCCAAAACAAAGTAATAATAACATGATAAATTAATGTGGCTCTGTTGTACTACCTAGGGCTATGTAATATCAATTTTTTAAAGTCAAGATATGGAAAAGGAAGAAGTGAAAGTACTTATGGAATGGGGGTAGTGTTTTATCTACACAATTTTTATAGCTATGAAAAATTCAAGGAAATACTGTTAGAATGAAAGACATCGGCATGGTCTCTTAGTAAATACGAATCAAAATCAAGCCTGTCTAATTAAAACAAGTAAGATGAACAATGTGCAGCCTGCAGGTGGATGCTCTCCACAGTGACCATGAAGATTAACAACTCCTGGAACAAGTTTGGCAGGCAGTGCACAAGATGACCCAAAGGGAGGAATAGGGCTGCTAAAACCTGCTAGGAGGGCAGGTTGAATGAATAAATAAAATCTTTAAAAATAATAAATAAATAAATAAATAAATACATACATACATACATACATACATACATACATACAGACATACATACATACCTGCTAGGAAACCCCAAGAGGAGAGTACAGCAGGTCCTGGGCCTAAGAATGTTAGGAAAGCCCCAAGAACATTGGAGCCTGGGCCCTGAGGAAGACAAGACCACAGGACCCTGGGACCTGAGGAAGACGAGAGAACACCAGATACTGGACTCTGAGGAAGATAAGAGACTTAGTCCTTGCTCCCAAGAAAGAAGAGAACACAATGGGCAGAAATAAGCACACACCAGATCCTGGCCAGCGACAGACTTCTTTCATTTCCTAGACACCAGCCCCTTGGCTCACAGAAGAGTGACAAGAGTGTCTCCTCCCTGACAGAGTCTTTGCTTACCGGAACTTGAGTCAGGTTCCCCCCACCCTCTTCCTAACAGGGCCCATCCATGAACTTCCTCCTAGAATCCAGGTTTTTTGTTGTTGTTTGTTTGGTTTTTTTTTAAGATTTTATTTATTCATGAGAGACACACGGAGAGAGGCAGAGACACAGGCAGAGGGAGAAATAGGCTCCATGCAGGAAGCCTGACGTGGGACTTGATCCTGGATCTCCAGGATCATGCCCTAGGCTGAAGGAGGCGCTAAACTGCTGAGCCACAGGGCTGCCCCTAGAATCCAGTTTTAGCAAGAATCCTCTCAGTTTAACAAGACTTCTCTACCTTGAAATCTGATAAAAATTCTCACCCCCACTGTTGTCCTCAGGTGTTATCTGACCACCGTGGCCTGCCTTCAGCAAAAATCTTAATAGGTTGGTTCAGCGAGAAGCCCCCAGACTATGTAATTTTCTAGCAACCAACACCCTCCCACACACACTCCAACTTGCTTCTTAGCTATAAATTCCCACTTGATCTTGTATTTAGAACTGAGCTCAGGTCTACACTGGACCGTCTCTACCTGCAGCAACATTTTTGGGAGTAAAATCTATTTCCACTGTTTAACTTCTTTGTAGCTCTGGTTTTGATAATCCACACCCCACCCTCCTGCTTATGATGACGTTTTGGAATATAAGTGAGGTTTGGTGGGGTGAGGTCTGGGGCTGACGACCAAGAACGATTTCTTAAGACGTCTTTGGTACAAAATGGTGGTTTTATTAAAGCATGGGCAGGAAGAGCTGCTGGCCTGGGGCCTGTGAAGAGTGGCTGATACCTGGAGTTGGGAGGGGTTTGGGGATAGCCTCATCTCTAAGGAATTTTGGAAGCAAGGTTTCCAGGACCTTGAGGGGGTTTAGCTATTTATGGGAAAAGGTCACTTATTACCAGCTAATAAAACCTTCAAATGAGGGGATCCCTGGGTGGCGCAGCGGTTTGGCGCCTGCCTTTGACCCAGGGGGCGATCCTGGAGGCCAGGGATCGAGCCCCATGGTGGGCTACCGGTGCATGGAGCCTGCTTCTCCCTCTGCCTGTCTCTGCCTCTCTCTCTCTCTCTCTCTCTCTGTGACTTTCATAAATAAAAGTTAAAAAAAGAAAAAGGAGTTGTTAAACTTTAAAAAAAAAAAATAAAACCTTCAAATGTTTGTCGGTGGGCCATGTGCTTGGAGGATGACTGCCAACACGTATTTTGGGGGTTTAGAGATAAAGGTAATTTCTGAATGAGTTTTTATACGTTAAAGTAGACTTACAGAATCCTGGGGGTCAGGCTAAGATTGCCTTCTGCCCTTAGTAAAGTACAAACATCCAGGCAGTTGAGTCCCTAGAGGAATGTTTCTCTGCTTGTTTCAAGGACTTGTCAATTATGCCGGCGGGGGCTTTTCCTTTGTCAGCTGGTCTAGGGCACAATTAACCCTGCTTTTCTTCCCACAGCTTGAGTGAACACCTAGGCCTGGGCCCTCTCCCCTTCTCCCCTCCCCAGACACAGAATCCCGCCGTCTTCACGTTCCCAGCAGGCCTCACCCCCAATCCTCTCAAAACCCAGGACTGATCTGAGACCCGCCTCGGGCACACTTCCTGCCCTCCCCAACCCCGCCCCCTCCGTTCAGACACAGATCCACATTCAGCACCGCCCCCACTCTCTTCCGTCCATCCTCTCACTGCCTCTTCCCAGAACTTCAGTGGACTTTAGCTCCGCCCCCACACTACCCTCCGGTCCCTCCTCCCCCAGCTTTGCGGGACGTTAGCTCCGCCCCCTAGACGCTTCCTGCCCGCCTTGTTCCCGCCCCTCCTTCCTCCATATTGGGTAGGAGTAGCAGTTAGCCCCAACCTTCTACGCTTCCGGGCCCTGCCCGCTCTTCCTCCTCCGCGCTGGGACGTAGTAAACCTTCTCGCCAACACCCCACCCAGCTGTAATCAACTTCCGGCCTACCCCCTTCTGCGCTCCTTCCCTACCCAATTTCCGGTTCGTCCCACGAGTGGTCGCCCTCGTGGCGGTGCACGACTCGGTCCTGGCCTGCGCCACTGACTGGAAAAGTGTTGATACACCGCGACATAGTGTATCCGACTCGAGCCCTCCCCCAACCCAGCTGGACCACCGAAGGTCGCCAGCCAAGGCCCTCTTCTAGGCGGTCCGGTCTTCGCGGGCCATCCGAGATGGCCCTCCACGATGGCCCTCCAAGATGGCCGCCGCCAGGGAGAGGTCGAGCGGGCATGCCGTAGGGGTGGCTGGGAGTTGTAGTCCGGGCCGACGCGCTGACGCATTTCGCCGCGGGCCGACGGTCGCCATTGTGCACCGCGCGCTGGGTGAGTGTGGCGCGAAATCTGCTCCCGTCGGGGGCTGTGCGGATCCATCGCGGAGGCACTCTTCGGGGTGTGCAGCCCCAGTCTCCTCTTGGCCAAGCTCAGCAGCCGGAGGCCGGTCTTGCCTGCCGTCTTCCCGCCGCGGGGCCGGAAGGGGCGGTGTGGTCGGGGACTCGGGGCCCACAGGGAAAACAACCCCCTCCGGGCGTGGGGCTTAAATTGGGCTTACCTGCAGCGGGCGTGTGCGGACTGGGCAGGGAAGTAACTCCCTCCAGGTGAGAAAGCTGTGAGGACGGCCTTCTCTCCAGTAGGGGGAAACCTGCCCTCCAGGTGTCGGGGAGGAAGTGGAGACGAACCTTTCAGTGCGTTTTTCTAGGTTGGGAGTGGACTTGTCAGTTCACTTTGGTCGGGTCGCTGCTGGGTAAAGGAGGGGGTTGCCCCTCTGCGTAGCGCTCACACTCCTCCTGCATTCCAAATTCAACCTTCTCAGGACTGCCTCCTCCCACGAGATACGTCGAGAAGGAGGTATGGCCTCCGGGCTTCCGACAGCCTGGTTCCATGTGAGTAGAGGCTTCTTTGAGTTTCTGCATCTACCCCTGGATTTGGGGGTGGGGGGTGGCCGGATGATAGTGAGATGTCACCTTCCCTCGAGATGCCTTCAGGCCCCGAGCATTTTGGGGAGGATTGAGAGACTGGCTGGGAATGAGAGACCCTGCTGGACAGATGAACCTCAGGTTGCTTAGCTTTCCAAAGGAATGTTTAGAATACAGGTCAGGTTCTGGGGGATTCTGATTTATCCTTTATATAGAGGATAGGCATTGATAGGTTTAATCAGGGAGTAGGCTCATATTTAGATTTCAGTAGCTACTTTGGCATCAAAGCTAAAGGGGAAGTGAGCTCAGTCATTAAGATAAAACAGGAGGATGGGTCCTTGACATGTGAAGGAAGTAGAGGCAGCATAGGCAGTGGGGTGGGGGCTGAACGGTTGAGTGTGATGATTCAGCTTACAGGGAATTCTCTAGGAGGTATAACCACTGATACCAGTATTGGAATTCCCAAGTTAATAAACGGAGAGGTCTTCAGAGAAGGAAGAGCCCTGTCTGGCCTCATGTGTTGTCCTCCTTGCTGTGACCTGAACAGGGTCAGGCTTGGGTTTGCTCAGTTTCAGACAAACGCAGGAACACGTGAGACACCTGGAATGCTCGGGTCATCTTGTAGACTGTGCCTTCATGTGCTGGGTCAGCCTTCCCCCTCCTGTCAGTGTAGGTGACGACAGACCATGGCTGAACAGAAACCTGTGGGTTTTAGGAACCAGTGACCTTTGAAGATGTGATCCTGGGTTTTACTTCAGAGGAATGGGGACTACTGGACCTCCAACAGAAGTCCCTGTACAGGGAGGTGATGCTGGAAAACTACAGGAACCTGGTCTCAGTGGGTAAGGATGGCCTCCATGTCAATAAAGATCTGCGCTTTGCAGCACGAATGTGGTGCCTCTGAAGTGTGTGTCTGCTTGGGCTCAGATTGCAGGGATGAGAGTGAAATTGTAAAGGCCCCAGAGCTTGAGGGAAAAGGCTTTAATTTGTACCTGGAGGGAAAGGTAACTTTATGTGACTTCTGAAGCCACCTAGTCCACCCCCCACAGTCCTTGAATGCTATGGAGGTAGGTTTGTCAGGGATGTTTTCAGACAGTAGTGGATACTCATTTATGTAACAAGAATTCCATAGTATGTGGGGTCAGTGTCCCAAGAATTCAGGAGTATCACTGAAGACTGTTCCCTTCCATTTCTTTGTGATTAGTATGAACTTTTCCACTCTTAGGTTAGTGGCTGCATGGCTGTGGCACCCAGCATCATGTTTGTATTCAAGGCAGAAAGAAGGGAGGGGGCAGCTTTGGCTAGTTCTCTTTCACACCTACCATATTTAGCAAGAAAGAAAAGTCCCTAAGGTCCCCAGCTGACATATTTTTCTTTGTACCTTGTTGGCCAGAACTGGATCCCGTTGCTGGCCAGCCACTTTTAGTGGCAGGGGAGTCCGGGGATGCAAATAGTTGATAAAGGGAATGGATTGGGTTATCATCACTGACATAGACCAAAAGTCATGCCCTTGCAGGGAATAATTCAGGGACAGCATGTGCCACAGCAGGAACACATTTTCTCCGGAACACAGACCCCCCAAGCCCTGTCTCTTTTCCCTTGGGCAGAACATCAGCTTTCCAAGCCAGATGTGGTATCTCAGTTAGAGGAGGAGGAAGCGCTCTGGTCCGTGGAGAGAGGAATTCCTCAAGACACTTTTTCAGGTGAGAACCAGGCCCACAGGAGTCCTGGCAGGGATGGGCTGTTTAAGATAGGGACTGGTGTCTTAGAAGAAAAGATGGGACAGGGGAAAACTCCAGATGGGGTGTAGCTGCAGACATGCTGAAACTGTTTTCCTCTGGTCTGAGTCAGGGGTACCTCTTGGTTGAATATGAATTTGTTGCAGCTGGCAGATTGGCTGTAGGGGCTCCATCTGTTCTACTGCTCTTCTTTCATGTAATCACCAGTATCTGGCTTGGTATGTCTGTCCAGACTTCTTTATAGATGTTTATATGTATGTGTATGAATATGTTTATGACTTGGGGGTGTTACACTCAATACAAATAGGCCTGTTTCATTCATTCTAATAGATACTGTGTAATTCACATTTGATCTTTCCTCTTGATGGTTGTTCAAGTTGTTGAAGAAAACTTTGTTGCCTATTTTTTTTTGCACATTCCATTTGGGTTTTTTTGTAGGTAGAATTTCTTGAACTAGAACTTCAGAATCAACCAAGATAGAATCTAAAAATATGGTAGCAACAGATTGCTTTCTAGAATCCTTTAAAATATATGTAGGTGCTCAATTACATGAGAGCTCCTTTTCCGCTTCATTGCCAGCAATTTATAACGATCTTTTTAAGATTTGTGGATCTGATAGTATGTTCAGTGTAGTTCACATTTTCTTCATGAAGTTACATATATTTTTATGTTACGTTTATATTTTTTCTTGTATGAGTTCATATATTTTTTTTTTCTGTTGGTTTTTGTCTTTTTGGGTGGGGTATTTTGCTGAGAACACTGCATTCATTATGAGTATTGATAATGTCTCAGACCAACAGTTACCATCTGCCTTTAAATTTAGTCTCCATAAGGAAGTTTTATGATTCAGGTATTTTTCCCTAACAAAATTTTTTATTCCTATTCATATCATAGTAGCAGATTTTATACTTTCTTGTATTCCTGTATGTTTTTAATTGCTGCACTTATCTGGAGTTTGTGTATATGGCATGGAGCATAAATTCTTTCTTTCAGCACATTTTCTGATTAGATTCTTCCGCTTATCATAGACTAAATTCCCACAGTCCTCATTGGATGCAGGGCTCCATCTTGGTCCCTTCTGCTTCATTGATCTTAGTCTGAGTAAACACCATATTGCTGTACGTATGGTAGTTTTATAACAAACCTGGATAAATGGGAATTCCTTTCATTATTTAAAAAAAAATTTCTTAGCTGTTCTCAACCACCTGGTTTGCCAGATGAACACTTAGCATCAGCATGTTAGGGGTTCATTGAGAAAATCCTGTTATAATGATTGGATTTAGAATTCCTTGATGCAGAATTGGTTCGTCTAGTTTAACAAGTGTGCAAAGAAATCTGTTCACCTCACTGTTCCTCACTCAAGCCTTTTGAGTGTTGTTGGGCTTTCACTGTGGTTGCAGTTAATCTCAGGTTAATCTTTGCAATCTCACGTAGTTGGTCCAGATGAGACTGTCAGGTTGCTAAATTCTCTTAAAGTTGTCTTATTAGGTTCTCATTAATTTTCTTAGTGCAGCCATTTTACCAGCAAGTATAAAGGAGGAGGCAGCTGTATTATTATTATTATTTTTTTTTTTACTTCTTTTGCTCAATTACATAATGACATCACATCTGGTACTTTGAAAACACTGAAACTGAGAGTGTGAAGAGTGAATGTCTGACTTAAATAGTAAAGTTTCTTGGCTTTGCCGAGCATGATCCTGGACTCCTTTGATTCAAATAAGTTTTATTTGGGTAAAGAAATAGTCCTCTAGTTCTTTTGATAAATGAAAAATCAGTAATAGCCCTAGGTTTCCCTCATTATCTTCCCAAGGTGATCCTCACAATTATCTCCTTCAAACAGTTAACACAGTGACTTAATAAATGTAGAACAGACCTTGTTGTAACATGCTGCTGGCATCCACTGATACATCAGTATTCATAAATTAGGTTGGGGAGGTGAGTGGATTTTTAAATTATTTTTATCAACTTTTATATCAGGTATTCTGAGTTTGTAAAGAAAACTTTGGATACTCTTTCTTCCCTTTGTTCTTTGTGTTCTAATGCAAGTGACTTTGGAACTACCTGCTCTGGCATTATGCAGCTATGAAATCTGCACCTGGTCCCCCATCTTTGGTGATGATTTTCTGCTTGCCACAACATAGACTGGCATTTATGTGACTCTCTGCCCCACTTTTCTAGACTCAGTTTGATGGCTCAGCATTAGTGTTTTTTTCTTTTCCGTATTCAGATTCATTACTTTCATTCCCTACATTGAAAACCCTTCCAGCCATTAGCACAGGTCACTAAACTGTACCTCACTGGGAAGGTCCCCAGCAACACAAGCACTTTGTATCCACCCACTGTGGTATCTTCCCTGGTGTTTCTCCTTGATCCAGCCTCCCAAAGTCCTTTCCTGTGTGGTGGTGGCTCTGGTTGTGGCAGGTCTGTGTCTCACCCTACCTGGAGCTCAAGTCCCAAGTTCCTGTGTTGGCAGACCCTCCAGTCTATTGATGATCTAGTAGTTCCCCGAACCTAGCTGCCATGTGGGATTTTGGGCACCTGTGATTCTGCACATCTTAGGAGAACTGACTTATTAACAGGTGACAGGAGATTCTGAGGTGATGTCCCAGAGCAAGAGACCATGTGCAGGGAGACTTATCAGGACACTTTATTACCTATGCCTGAGGTAATAGGTGCTGGACTCTGCTATGTCACAGAGTCCTTTTTTATAGGTTTTTCCTCCACTGCTTCCCCTTACACCTCACAAATACTTGTGGAAGTCCTCTTGTGTCCCCTGTAGTACATTAAGCACTTTGGTAATAAACCAAAGACCTAACATAATCCCTGCCTCTGTGGACCTTGTAGCCTAATAAATTATGGCTTCTACAAACAAGTTCCCCAGATATCTGTAAACAGATAAATCGTGGTAAGCACTGAGAAGAAAAAGGACATGATGTAAAGTGGGAGGTAGTGGGGAATTACTCTAGAGGAGCTGGTTGGGGGCACTGCAGGTGTGAAATTTTAAGCCAATTCCCAAAGAAAAAGAATTCTACAGACATGTAAGAGTGGTAGTAAAGAGAGCTTCCAAGTACAGAGACAACATCTGGCATGACCATGAACATGGAACAGCTTGGCACATTCAGGAATCCATCCCTGAATGGGCTGAGAGGAGGTGATTGAGGTATACTGACATGTAGGCTAGGTTTGGTAGTGCACATATGGCCTCCACTTTGAGGAGAGTTTTGATTTTTATCAGGCAGGTGTGTGATGTGGCGTTTCAAGTACAATTCAGGTGCTTTTGAGCCATATTGGGGCACAGATGGAAGCAGGCTTGGAGCTGTGGTAGGTAGCATCTAGGGAGCAGGTGATGACACCTGGCTTGAGTAGCAGAGGGGTTGGGGAGAAACTGGCATGGGCTTATCCCAATTTATAGGTGGATTCATTGGGGCCAGATGAGTAATGGGAAGAAAGTGGCAAAGAATCCTTCACAGGTAAAGGCTTCAGGGATTTCCTAGGACTATTCTTTATAATGTATGTGTTTACCACATAAGTTTTTTTTGCATCAACATCTAGTTTAAAAAGAGAAGAATAAAGGAGAAAAATTATTACTCCTGAATTTTTGGCTTTAGTCACTGACAAGAGGAAATCTGGTAAAGGCATAAACTTTTGAAGGGTAGAAATGGAGGTTTTGTTTGGTTTTACTCAGTTGAAGTAATTTTTAGAATTACGTGAATAGTACAAAGAACTCCCTTATAGCTTTCACCTAGATTCAATAGTCTGTGGTACTGTCCCATGTCTTGACTGGTTCTGTTAATGAATTGTGAATGAGAAGGAACTTAGAGATGTTTAAGTAGAGGTTTGTAAAGCCAGTGGAATGCACCTCTCTGACTCCAAAAGGAGGTCCCAGTGGGGCATAGAAACTTGGGAATGATAAGTGTTTGGAATGGCATGCTTTATTACTATTAGATTAGATCATCATCTTCAGCAGTGGTCTCTTTGCCATCACTGGTGTAGTGGTGCCTCTCCCCAATGCAAGGGACTGGGTTTAAGTGGAAAGTTGTCTTTCTGAGGCAACTCGTTTTGTATGGCTGGCTCTTCAGCTCCCTCTGACAGCAAAAATGCAGCACAGATATTGGCTGCCATTGAAGGTATACTGAGTAATAAGCACATAAGACATGGCCATCTTTAAGGTGGCACTTGGGAAAACAGATACTTGATGGCATTCAGATCTTTAGCTGTAACTCTGTCCTTTCAAGAAAGTTCTGCCATATATGTGGTTTGGGTGGAAAACTTGACATAAGCTAAATTTAATCCATAGGAAAGCAATGGAGTAAAGACACTGTATTGAAAGTCATGAATATAGGAAAGCCTGCAGGATATTTAATTCTTGACTTGTCAAGGAAGACACAGGAGAGATGAGCCCTACAAATATGAATGTAGCAACACTCAACTTAGTGTGAGCTTTAGCAGAGAAAAATAACCTCTATAAGGAGATTGTTTTGGGGAGGAAGACAAGGAAATCCTTTTCTAGATTTCACCCTTTGTGTAGCCTGAGAGGACTCACATAGGCTACAAAGCAAACATGTAGTAGGTGTAGGAAATCAGTTGTTTTATACAAAGGGTAATTCATTCAAGAACAAGACTCCATAAATGTGTTCAGTGTGAGGAAGCCTACTGTCAGTTCAACCTTTAACTAAGGGAAGGCTCACATGGGAGATAAACATGCAAAGACCATAAATGAAGAAAGTTCTCATGATTTTTTTTGACCTGAGAACTCAAACAGGGAAGAATATCATCTTAGCGGGAAAGGCTTCTGGCCTGATTGACTCTGGCTTGTAAAAGCTCATACTGGACACACACAGAAAACTCCTAAAACCAGTTGTATTAAATGTGGGAAAGTTGCATGCATAGCTCTCTTACTCAGTACCACAACAGTCATACTGGAAAGCACCTGAGAATGTCATCAGTGTTAGGCTTCAGGAGGC